GTTTCCCAAGAACACCAAGAAAAATACGAAGATGGTCAGCATGCTCTTCCTCATTTTTCGAATAAACCAAAATGTTATCAATAAATACTATCACAAATGAATCAAGAAATGATTTGAACACACCATTCATCAAACTCATAAAAGTTGCAGGCGCATTTGTCAACCCAAATGACATAATGAGAAATTAATAGTGCCCATAGCGGGTCCTAAAGGCCGCCTTCGATACATCCTCAGGCCTAATCTTTAACTGATGGTAACAGATCTTAGATCAATCTTAGAGAAAATGGATGCACCTTCCAGTTGATCATAAAGACCATTTATTCGATGCAGTGGGTACTTGTTTCGAATGGTTACCCTATTCAATTGCCGATAATCTATGCACATCCTCGTACTACCATTTTTTTCTTAACAAACAAGACATGAGCACCCCACGGGGAAGCACTAGGACGAATGAAACTTTTATCAAGAAGTTCTTGAATTTGAGCCTTAAGCTCTCTTAACTCAGTCAGAGCCATGCGATAAGGGGGGGTGGAGATGGGGCGGGTACTAGGTTCCAAATCAATAGAAATATATATCTCTATCCAAAGGCATACTAGGCAAATCGGTAGGAAACATTTCTCTAAATTTTGACACAATAGGAATAGACTCAATAGAGACAGACTCGACCTCAACATCCTGAATATGAGCCAAATACGCCAAACATCCTTACGCCACCAGTTTCTTAGCCTGAATGGAGGATATGATCTTAGTTGGCTTAGGCTTGTACACTCCTTCCCGCTCTAACTTTTCTCTACCCGGAATCTCAAGAGTCACGAACTTAGTATTACAATTAAGCACAACATAATAGCAGGACAACCAAGTCATGCCTAAGATTATATCAAAGTTCATCATATCCAATATAACCAAATCAGTCCAAGTTTGGAAACCCATAAACATAATAGAACAAGCACGATAAACATGGGTGACTATGACACACTCTCCAATTGGGGTAGAAACATGGATGGGGGCATCAAGTATATCAAAAATCATATCAAATCCCAAGGCAAACTGAACAGACACATAAAAATAAGTAGAACCCGGATCAAATAACACATTAGTCATCCGGTCACAGAAAAGAATGGTACATGTGATCTTGTATTATTGTATTTAGTTACGTCATTTCTTCTCTTCTAATGTTTACTTCCTTAAAATGTTGTTATTTTCCACTGATTTGAGGCTTCTTCCCACTAGGCTCGTTGCTTGTCATTGCGGACTATGAGTTGGTTTAACTACTGTGAATTTCAGTAGGTATCATCATGACCTTTAGATATTATTATGTTGGAATATATTCATCCTAATGTTTCTGCTTGAAAGTATATTGTTATGAAAAATTGACAAATTAAAAAGCAAATTAACAAAACTAAAGCCATGAAAAATTAACTTAATTAATTCAATTTAAATATTTCAAAAATTGACTTAATTGGTTTAATTTCCTTTTTAGAGAAAATTGACTCAACCATTAACACCTTAATTAGTAGATTGATAAGAATCTGGTTAAAACATTTTTAAAATAGAGACAAAATAAACATGTTGTACTTAGAGTTTGTTTGGCATTACTGTTAAAATAACTTATTTTAGAAGAATTTTTTTTAAAATGACTTTTCAAAAAAGTGATTTTGAAAAAAAAAAATTGTTTGGGTAATTCATTTGAAAAGTGTTTTTCACAAGTACGTTGCGTTAGGATGATATTTTTAAAAAAGTACTTTAGATACTATAAGAAGTACAAAAAGGGGAGGAAAGCTCCTAATACCTACTTAGAGTGGGAAAACCCCCAATCTATATACCAAAGTAGGATTTCTATGTAAGCTCTAAAAAATAAAACTAAATGAGGTATAAACCTCAGCACAACAGTTCCTCAAAAGTGAAAATTCTATACAAATCTCTATCTAGGGAGAAAGAGTTCTTTTGGGTAATCATTCTGAGGGAAGGAACACTCATTCTATTCAAAATCAGTTATCCTCTTACCTCACTTGGTAATTGATGATGATGAGTGATCCATGTTTTGTTAGCGCACTGGAGACCCCAATTGGCGAGGCAATCGACCACCTTGTTTCCTTCCCTGTAGCAATATTGAAGGCTCCAATTGTCCAGTCATTGAAGGAGATTCCTGATGATGATAATTTTATCCCATATGATCCATGTATTATCTTGAAGGTTGAGGATACAATCCACTAGAAGTTTAGAATGAACCTCCACCTCTAGGTTCCTAATTCCATTGTTGACACACCAGTGAATACCTGTTTCCAGAGCCAAAGTCTCTACCATGTTGTTGGTGGTGCTTCCATAAGCCTCTGCGAAAGAAATCTTCATCCTGCCTTGATTGTCTCTAATTATACCGCCTCCTGCACTTAGTCTTGGATTTCCTTTGAAGCAACCATCTATGTTGAGCTTGTAGAAGTCTAGTTTTGGTCTTAACCATAGAACAAGAACATGACTGATCTTGTCCCTAGCTATTCCGATGATGTTGTAAAACTGTTCCCAATCCATGAATGGATTAATACTTTGGAATTGTTTGTGGGCTATAGTAATTATTTGACTATTAATGTTGTAGGTTATGCTCTTGAAGTTCATCTTTATGCCTTCATATCTATGCTTGCATCTTGCTTTCCACACTTGCCAAATTATAATACTAGGAAGGATTTGAAGGACGAGATTTTGGACCGGATTCTTCTCTATTGAAATCCACCAGTTTATCAATAGTTTTTTAAAACAATTATGATTCTGGGTGATCTCAAATAGTTTGTTATAATGTCTCCAAACTTGTTGTGCTATCTAACCTTTGTAGAATAAGTGTTCAACTGTTTCTTCTTCATAAATCCTGTAACAACAAGAACATCTTGAAAGTAGGTGGACCTTAAATCTAGTGAGATTTAGATCCACAATCACCTTGTTACGCAGTACTTTCCATAACAAGAAACAATATTAAAAGGGTTCTTATTATGCCAAATCATCTTATTAGTAAGATTCACATTTCCTTTTTTCCTACTAAGATCTCAAGCAGATTTACTACTAAATTTTCTATCCGAGTTAGCCTTCCAGAAAGGAGTATCATCTAGATTAGAAGATTTAATAGTAATTCCTTGGATCAAATTAACTAAGTGAACAGGAAGATGTTGATTGAGCTTATAAGTATTCCACATACCATGATGAATAAAATCAGAGACGGGAATTTTAATAGAGGTAGATACTTTAATAAATTGAGAAAGTCTACCAATACCTGTACAATTGTCCCACCAGAAGCTTGAATTTCCTTTATTCAATCTCTATTGGATTAGGTGATCTACTTATTTCTTCATCATTCTTCTCCAACATTTTGAGTATTTGTAACTCACTTTCCTAGCCATTGGATGGTTTCTCGTTGAATATTTATCTTTCATAAATCTGATCCAAATGGTGTCCTTGGTTCTGAATTGCCACCATATCTTGGCTCCCAGGCTTTTAGAGATGTCCATAGTAGATCTAATGCCAATGCCTCCTTCCTCTTTTGTATAGTATAACTTGTCCCAAGCTGCCCAATGGTATTTTTTCTTTTCTTCTTTCCTTTCCCATAAGAAGTTGGCAAAAATCTTCTCTATTTGATACATGATTGTTTTTGTGGACTGACATATTGAGAGAAGATAAAGAGGCATAGTATTCAAAACATGCTTAATAAGAATAATATTAACCCCCCCCCCCCTGTTGAGAGTCTATTTCATTGCCAAGAACCAATTTTTTTAATGATCTTTGTGGTCATGTCTGCAAAATATTCATTTTTTCTTTTTCCCAATGAATAGTGGACATCCCAGGTAGGTGATTGGGAATTGTTCCTTTTTGACTTGAAAAATTCTGGAAACAATGTTGATCCTTTTAGTAGAGATATATTTATCCATTATGAAGCAACTCTTCCCTTTATTCATTTGTTGTCCAGAGCATTCTTCATACTTCCTTAGGCAATTTACAACGACCTCCAATGTTTTGGTTTAACCTAAACAAAAAATAATTAAATCATCAGCATAATCTGAGTGGTTAATCCTTGGTCCAATGGTATCCATGCTAAATCCATTGAAGGAAGGATTTTCATATAGGTTATTCAACATTAGAGAAAGAGATTCGGCAGCAATAATGAAAAGAGAAGGTGAAATTGGATCGCCCTGTTTAACTCCGCTTTTGGATTGGAAAAAAACATGTCTTTTGCCTTTAACTGTGACGGTATACCAATTATTGGAAAGGAGATTCCACACATTATGAATCCATCTATCATCAAAACTCATTCTTTTCATAACAATGCAAATAAACTGTTAGGACATCCTATCGTAAGCTTTGTTCATGTCAATCTTGAATATAACATTGCTCCCTTTATTCTTGGTATTGATCTCATAAATAATTTCTTGAGCCAAAAGAACATTCTCTCCTATAGCTCTACCCTTAATGAAACCACTTTGATTGAGGGAGATGATCTTAGGAAGAATATGGGTGAGCCTGTGATCCATTATTTTAGAGACAATTTTATGAGTAACATTGCTAAGACTGATGGGTCTAAAATCATAGAAGGATTGAGGAGACTCCACTTTCAGAATGAGAATCAAACAAGTACTTGTTAACTACTTAGGCATGTGTTGTCCATTCAACATTGTTTTGACAAGCTGAGTAATATCTTCACCAATTATGCACCAAGCTTTCTAGAAGAAAAGCCCACTGAAACCATCAAGTCCAGGAGAGCTATTGGGGTTAATACTAAAAATAACTTCTTTAATTTCCTTTTTGGTAGGATCTCATATCAATATCAGATTATCTTGCTCACTAATGCAGTTAGGGATGAGGTCCAGCAAGCTATTATCCACCCTATTTTTTCCTGCAGAAAACAAGTCATGGTAAAACTCTACAACAATGCCAATGTAATCATCCCCCTCAATCCAATTTTCATCTACTTTAATTTTGTGGATCTGGAGGAAGTTTCTTTTTCCTTTAGCGATAGAGTGAAATTATCTAGTGTTCTCATCACCCTCTAGGTTCCATTTGAAATTAGCTTTTTGTCTCCAAAAGGTATCTACATGCTTGTGATGAGTGATCAATTCAGCTTTTATTCTATTCATGTTTATTTTGTCAATAGGATCCATAGATTTCATGTACTTTTCTTCACTTTGTTCAGCCTCTTTATCCAGTTGCTGAGACTTCTCAAAGATATTTCCAATTTTCATTTTAGACCAATGACTCAAAGCTCTACTAGTCATCTTTATTTTCTGATGAACCTGCCAAAAAATATTGCCATCTGATTGAGAAATCCTATTTTCCCTGACTACAACAAGAAAGTCATCAAAGTTAGTCCAAAAAATTAAGAATTTAAAATATTTGGTGTGATGGTCAGCAATGTTGCCAAAGTTGATAAGCAAAGGACAATGATCATATCCTACTCTAGGCAAATGGTGCACTCTACTATGAGAGAAACAATCACTCCACGTAGTGTTGCAAACCATTCTGTCTAATCTTTTCCAAATGAAGTCCTTACCACTTCTTTCATTACACCAAGTCACTACATGTGTATCCAATGTCAGAAAGTGCACAGTCATTTAGACATTCTGTGAAGGCCATATTGTTACCTAGTGTGTATGGTATGCCTCCTAGCTTTTCTTCCCTGCTTAAAATGTTGTTGATATCACCAGCGACAGCCCAAGGATGGTTGATTACGGAGGCAAGAGCTCTCATGTACATCCAGAGATCTTCCCTACCAGAGGACTTCGATTTAGCATAAATAATGGAGAGAAAGAGAGAATGTTCCTCACTTTGAATCTTACAAGTTGTGATTTGGTTCTCACTAGCATAGATTGTACAACTGAGTTCTTGTTTCCAAAAGATCCAGGTCTTGTTACTACAATTTGCAAAACAATTTTGCATACCAAGACATTTCGCATACATTTCAATGTTAGTCTCTTATATGAAAGGTTCTTGAATAGCTACTAAAGAGACTTTATGATTATCAATCAAAAACTTGAGCCTTGCAGTAGAGGCATGAGACTTCATGCCTCTAATATTCCAATTGAGAATACTAATCATGAAAACTAAATTTATGAGGTTTTTGTGATTTCCTTTTTGTTTTTTCACATCAGGATTAGTATTTTCCTTTCGACCCATCCTGCTCGTTTGATTTTTGTTGGAGTAAGTTCTAGCATGATTTACAATTTCTTGATTAGCCCCATTATGTCTTTTTGTTTGATGTTGATGCTCATTTCTCCTTTTCCTTGCTTGTTTCCTTCCTCATCAGAAGATTCCTCTGAAGTGTTGTCTTCTTCTTCTCCCTCTGAAGATGTTATATCTGCCCATTCATCTTGGGAATCTGGTTCTTCACCATTGTGATCATTGTCAATCTTCTTGTTGTTTCTTAGTCTAGTTTTGCAAGTACTTGCCAATTGTTCCTCATCTTCCACCATCAACTCATCAAAGCTATTTTGATTAATATCGGCAGCCTGCTCTTCATTCATAATTTCAACTTGTCGTCTCCTAATTTGAGTGTTATCTTTCTTGCAAGTTCCCACTTTGGTTTTCCTGCCAACAACTTCTTCCCATCCCCCACCAAAATTATCAACAGTGAGTTCATTGATATTCTTAATGGGTATGGTTTTATTGAAAACTGATGTTGTGAGGCTTTCCGGATTACCATCATTCATATTATTCTCAATGATAATCTCTTTTTCTTGATCACATGTTTCATTGACATGTTCAGTATTAGCTACCTCATGTTTCAACTCTTTTTCTTTTGATTTAGGGGAAATGTCACTATTAGCCTTATCAAATTTGTTTTTCGGGAACACGAGTTGACTGTTGGCTTGATCATGTGCCTTGTTTTCACTATTATTCTTTGTGATCTCTGTATTGGTTTCACAATCCGTCGTAGATGTAGGATGAGGTTTATCAACTCCAAAGATGTTTCCAGTTGGTTTATAAGCTTTCCTTGGGGGTTCACTTCTTCCTCTAGTTTTTCCTTTGTTGATTTCCCTTTTATTTTGCTTTCCCTTCCTTTGTTGGGAGTGATTTCATCTTCTTCGGGCAGCTTTGTTTCACTGTCGTCTTGTTCCGAATTTCTTTGTTATTGTTGATTTCTCCCTTGTTGATCCTTTTGTAGTGTCTCTTTCTTTTTAGTCTCTTTTATCTTTTCTAGAACTCTACAATTGATCATACTATTTTCAAGCTTTCTGCGGTGTTTACATAATTTGGGGATATTTTCATACTAGATTTTTTGAGAAAACCCTCTTAAAGGAGTGTTGTCATCTTCATTTCCCACCCAAATGTTATGGACAAGAGGCTTCAATAGATCGATTTCCACCCTTGCTTTAGCCATACTAGGTCTAGTCATCGTCTTGGTGGCTATATCAAGTTCAATCAATTTTTTCACTTCCCTAATAATTTATTTGACATAGTTCCAGTTATGCATATGAAAAGGCAGACCAGGGAGAAGAACCCCGACAGGAACTATGGATATATCTTCCTCTGGTTTAAAATCCAGAGTCCATTTTTGTAGCCAAATCTGAAACCCTTCCAGCTCAATAGCCCTCTTATATAACACTAAATTGAAGTCTTCATCAGTAGGGAAGGTAAGAAAAATATTGAAATTGTCATACACACCAATTTCGACAGACCCCCTCAAAGGAAATTATTCTGAGAACTTCGATCTGATAGTGTCAATTTGAGGTCAGGACTTCAAGAATCTTCCCACAATAGTTCTTCTACACGAAGTTGCCATCACTCCACAGTAATCCGAGGCTTTGAATATCACAGTTGGCATCCCATTGTGAGTAGTTCTTCGAGAGATTGCAGTCCTTTGTTCCATACGATTTGTGGTCATATTAGAATAGGGATCTGTCACTGAAGAAGCATAGGTAGGAGATATTTCTTTAGATATCTTGGGGTTGATGGGATCCCTTTTGGGGGATTGTTTATTTCTACTTTAGCTGGTGGAGGACCATCGGTCGGCGTCCCATCGAAACCAAAGAGGCGGAGAAGCAACTAGTTTAGATTCTAACGGTAGGAAAGTAGAGAGAGAACTCAACTATTAATATACTTATAATATAAAAATTATTTTATAGAGAGAAACTAATTTAAATATCTATTATAAAAAATTAATTTGAGAAACTATTTTAAATATCTATTATAAAAAAATTAATTAAATCTTTATTTTTATTAAATTATAATATTCATGTTTAAATTTTCAATCAAATTATACCTTTTTGGGGGCTGAAATTTAATTGTTATTTTTTTTTCTAATCTTCTAAAAATATCGTTGTTACCTATTTTTTCTAATTCTGCAAAATAATACGTAAAATAATATATAATATATATAAAGTAATAATAATATAGAAACGTAAAATAAATTATAAAATTTATTATATAAGAATAAAAAATGAAAATTCTTAAATGAATTTTAACCAAACTTATGAAATATGTTAATTAATTAATAAGAAATATATTGGTAAATATGTATATATGAAATGAATTTTTAATCTTGAGAAAAATAAAAAAAAATTATGCTTTTGCTTTTAAAAAAAACATAAATTTTTAACTTTTTCTCAACAACAGAAAAACTGATTTTAAGCACTTTTACTGATTTGTCAAACACTTAATTTTTCTATAAAAACATATTTTTCTCAAAATATATATTTTTGGCCTCTGAACAGCAATGTCAACCAGACTCTTATTTGATTAAGCTCTCTTATTTTCTCTTTTTTTGAAAGAAGTGAGTCGAGACTTCTCTAAAACGTAAAAGAAACGATAAGAAAATGGCCGTGGCTAAGTAATGACATGACAACCCCCTAATTATATCATTGATTTCGTTCTACTATTGAAATAAATACAGAAAGGAATTAGTGTATGATTTAACCATTTCAACAAGAGATTCTTTTTATAATTATGATCGTTACAATCATGGCTCTAATAATTAGCAATTTTTCTTCTGATTGAGCAAACTAATTATGCATCTATATTCACAAGTATGGAAATTCTTCTAAGTTATATTCCCTCCGTCTTTATTTACTTGTCAAATATTTTTTAATTTAATTTTCCTTTTTATTTATTATTTTTGAAAAATCAAGGAAGGATAATTATTTTTCTTCCTATTAATTACCCTCTTAATTTATTAACATTGAGCTAATGTCTTTGAAAAATGTAGTGAGTAAATATATTTAAGACTCTATCAATTAATAGGGGTAAAATGGTAAAATCACTATATCAATCATCGTTTTCTTAATAGGTGTGCTAAGTCAAAATTTTACGAGTAAAACGGCATGGAGGGAGTATATAATAGCATATAATACATAAATATGTCCTTAATTAACTTGACTTCTGTTGATATCCATGCCCTTTGACTTTGGGTGTGCACGAGTAGAGACTTAAATTTGTATAAAATTGAACAAGTAGACAAACGCGTCTTACGTAGCATAATACTTGTAGGACGCCACATAAGACATAAAATTACCATGTACGACACTACTTAAGACGAATATGTCTATTTGTTTAATTTTATATAATTTTAAGTATCTACTTGTACATACTCAAAATTAAAGGACATAGATACCAACTAAAATCAAGTTCAAAGACACGTTTATATATCATGCCTAATTATTTTTATCGTACATAACAGAGTTCTAATAATCAATAACATGTGAGCTCCGAACATCGGGCGAAAACCAAAAAAAAAAAGTATTCTAACTTTTGCTCTGGCAAACTCAAAAAGATTATTTAAAAAGGTGGTCCAAGTGAAGATATTTTAAAATAGAAATCCAACAAAATTTCTTCCATTCCTGTAGTTATTCACGGGTCATCCCTCGATCACAAAAAAAGAAAACTAGTAGTTGCGTGGAACCACTAGTCAACTATTAATTGAATCATTATTCATCAACTTTTAGAAGTAAAAGAATAAAAAAAACATTATGCTTAAAAAGGCAAATATAGATTAATAAAGATCCTACTTATCCACATTACAAATACACCAGAATCAATAGCAGTAACAGACACCATCATAATATGTTATTAAACACAGTTGGTGTGCAATACTTTTAAGACTCATAAATCACAAACACAATAATTAAGAAATTATATCCTAAACAGAGTTCGTCATTTTTTTTTTAATTAGACAAGAGAGTGTGGGTACCGACAATATCGACTAATATTTACAAAAAATGTGGTGGCCATTAACATGCTTTAAACAACTAACAATCAATAACTTAATGATTCAACAAATAACCAAAACTCACATGCACAATCGAAAAAATGTGTGATTTTCTTATGTACGATTTATTTAAAAATGAAAACGTCATATAATCATGTGAATCAAATCTTATTGTTAGAAAAAATATTATGACATGGTAAAAATTTTTAAAGCTAACTACAGAATACCCTTCATGAATTGAGGGTTTTTTAGAAACAATTTCTCTATCTCCGTAAGATAGAGATAAGGAGTGTGTTTCGTAGGAAGGAAAATATTTTCTTGGAAAACAAGTGCATTTCTAACTTATTTTCTTATGTTTGGTAGGTCAGTAGAAAATATTTTCTGGAAAATAATTTTTAATGTTTGGTTGGTAAATGAAAATATTTTCTAGAAAATAACTTTTATTTTTAGGTTGAGACTAGAAAATACTCTTTAGGAAATAATTTCTGACCTGGTGGCATAAAAAATGAAATTTTAAAATTTAAATTATTTTTCAGAAATAATTTTTTTTTAAAAAACGGGGGTGGTGGTGGGGGGTGACTGGGAGTAGGGGTTGGAGTGGCATAAAAATTAAAAAAATTAAAATTTGAAATATTTTTCAATTTTTTTAGGGGTGGGGGGGGGGGAGGCGGATGGCGTAAAAAATGATTTTTTTTTAAGTTTGAAATATTTTTTATAAAAAAAATGACAAGGGTGGCATAAAACATAGTTTTTTTTT